CTTTCCAAATCAATAAATATTCAAACAGTTATGAAACCACCAGGGATGTAGGCGTTATTTAGTATATTTCAAAAATAAAGCCAATGATCCTCAACCGTAGGCACATGTGGAATTTTAAGAATATGTCAGAGGTTCAGGATGGCTGATGGAATGGCTTATCCATTATCAGTTACAAAACCCCAGTTTGTCCAAATACAAATGCAGCTTCCCCACATGCATGAACAGACAGATATACACTATGTGTACATTCTAACTATTTATCTAGCTATCTAGTTAAAAGGCAGGTGAAGCAGGAAATCTGATGGACACCAAGGAAGAGGTTAAGAGCAAATGGTACTTCTAGAACCCTCTGTTTCCTAGAAAGAACGTTTTCAGATAATGAGTTCCTGACTCTTGGAAATAAAGCTCTTCCACTGAGATTAAAGCAGTTGACCTGAAGCTGTTGAGAAAGGCAGAGAAATATATGAGTTAGATGCAGGAAAATGATATTAGTATCCCACTGCCAAGTGAGAACTCCTCTGTTATCATAACCAATCAGAGTTTTAAACTCTGTGCAGAGAAGAGCAACAAAGATGGTTAGGGGACTGGAGACTAAAACATATGAAGAACGGTTGCAGGAACTGGGTATGTCTAGTTTAATGAAAAGAAGGACTAGGGGAGACATGATAGTAGTGTTCCAATATCTCAGTGGCTGCCACAAAGAAGAGGGAGTCAAGCTATTCTCCAAAACACCTGAGGGTAGGACAAGAAGCAATGGAGGGAAACTAATCAAGGAGAGAAGCAACCTAGAACTAAGGAGAAATTTCCTGAGAACAATTAACCAGTGGAACAACTTGCCTCCAGAAGTTGTAAATGCTCCAACACTGGAAGTTTTTAAGAAGAGATTGGATAACTGTTTGTCAGAAGTGGTGTAGGGTTTCCTGCCTAAGCAGGGAGTTGGACTAGAAGACCTCCAAGGTCCCTTCCAACTCTGTTATTCTATTCTAAACTCCTTCTCATATTCTTTCCTACTGACTGCTTTATTGAGCACCATCAAGTGGCAACAGAATTAGCTCCAGCTGAGGCTACTTGCCAACCCCATGCAGCTAGACACAAAGCTTCATGCTGAAAGCATATGTTGGGAAGATAAACTGACAAAGTCCAACCAGAGGAAATGTCAATAATATCTTGAAGTTCTGCCAGCTTGCAGCTCAACAGAGGTCACTTGTTAACTAGGTGGTGCAAAACTGTTATAAAATGCCCTCCAGAAACGGAGGAATACAGGAAGTTCCTCAGTAAAAAAATAAAAATAAAAAATAAATCTATTTCCTGATATCACCAATCTCCATTGGTAATGTAGATTTTTAATTAACAGAAATAGCTACTTTTATATATGTATGTATGTATGTATGTATGTGTGTGTATGTGTGGATATATATTATATTTGCTGATATGTGACTGTTTGAGGGCTCCTGGATTGGAGCTGAAAGGCAAAAGAGCCTTGGTAGTACAGAGGTTTAAGGCACCCTGTTATTAAGCTGGTTATTAAGACCAGCTGCCTGCAATTACTGCAGGGTTCAAATCTCGCCAAGGCTCAAGATTGACTCAGCCTTCCATCCTTTCTAAGGTACGTAAATTGAGGACCCAGTTTGTGGGGGCAATAAGCTGACTTTGTATAAATATACAAAAGGATGAAGGCTATTGCTGAGCACATTGTAAGCCGCCCTGAGTCTTCGGAGAAGGGCGGCATATAAATCAAATTTAAAAAAAAAAAAAAGGGAGCAGAATGCCCGCTCCAATGTGTTGGAGTAGACCAGGTGTCTCGGTAAACACTTAATATATATATTTATATTTCCCACACAGCTATATTTATCTTAGACATACATTAAGATGCATTTTAACCTCAGTATTATTTGGCATCAGAATGTATTCATTACATGTTAGCATTTTATGAATATTTATTACAGTATGTTCTCTTCTTATATGACAGGGGTGTTTGCATAACCCTCCCCCCAGAAATATCTCACCTTTGCTTTTCGTACCAGAAAAAGAGAAAAGATGACAAACTATACATGTGTTTTCATGAGACTTGAAAATTTGTATTATAATGTAATAAATGCATATACAACACATGCCTTTATTTTACTAAACTCCAATGCCACTCCAGTGCTTAACTAATTCCGAACAGCTTATTATCCTACCACATGTAAAACAAGTTTAAAACAGCAAAAATCACCACACAAATAAATATTACCGAATAAAATAGTCCTCTGCCAAGGCTTCGTATACATTCATTATTATTGCGAGTAGTATTAACGTCCTATGTTTGATAGCAAAATGCCGTTTGCCTACTTATATCGAGATGAATCAAAACTGCAGGAACAAAAACCTTGTTCAAGAGACGATGACTGTTTTCTAGTTTTCAAGGAAACTATATCAATCTAGATTCCGGAATTTCTGACAGGGAATTCTAGCACAATGTAGATTATTTTGGGAGAAACATATTTTAGCACAGATGGTGAACGTCATACTGCAGTGTCTTTATCTGTGATGCTTAATTATAAGGCTGGGAAAAATCTATTCTGCCTGCAGGAAATTTTTTATTAGGAGCAACATTGGAGGACAACTACTGAGATGATAGTGGTACTCTTCCATGTACGACTGTAATTGAGCTGGGAATCACTGTTATAAGCCATGTTGGTCATTAAGCAGGTGACCACATGACCGCACCTGATTTTACAACTTTTTCTGTTGAAAGGGAAACAATAATAAGGATATAATAAATAATACTAGAATATGATATACTGATATACTAGATTCTGTAACCATTAGGTTCCTGTAATACATATATGCCTTTGTATTTGTATCACACATATTATGTCTTTATATTTGTATCTCCTGTAACAAATATATTCTGATTAGGCCTCTGTAATGTATCTGGTATTTGTCAAACATATGTCCCTGCCATTTAACCTGAACCCATATCAATCTTCTCCCTGTATTTTCCTGTGCCATCCAAGAGCATAGTACGTATCTAGTTGGAACTACAGCCATCAACAAAGGGATAATTTACACCTCAGCCCTAATTTATGTTTGATCTGGATAAACTCCTGTCTTGGAAAGCCAGGGGGCCAAATGGCCAACTGAGTAAACAAAGAAATGCTTAAGATAAGTCTAATTGGGGAAGTTTCTATTCCCACTCGCAGGGCAACAAGGAATACACAAACCTAAATTAGGAGGCCGGAATTGGGTACTAAGCTGACGTCTCTGAGAGTATAAAAGGACGCTATACTTTCCCCAAGGTGTGGCTATTTCCTCGCATGCATTGTATCTGTATGTTCTGGATATAGTTCCACCCAGTATTTTGTTTTTGGCCA